CCGGACCCTAACCCTAACCCTAACCCTCTGATGCCCCATCCTAACCCGGACCCTAACCCTAACCCTAACCCTCTGATGCCCCATCCTAACCCTAACTCTAACCCTAACCCTAACCCTCTGATGCCCCATCCTAACCCGGACCCTAACCCTAACCCTAACCCTCTGATGCCCCATCCTAACCCGGACCCTAACCCTAACCCTAACCCTCTGATGTCCCAATCCTAACCCAGACCCAGACCCTAACCCTAACCCTAACCCTCTGATGTCCCTCCCTAACCCTAACCCTAACTCTAACCCTAACCCTAACCCTCTGATGTCCCTCCCTAACCCTAACCCTAACCCTAACCCTAACCCTCTGATGTCCCTCCCTAACCCTAACCCTAACTCTAACCCTAACCCTAACCCGGACCCTTGGCCTCCGCGCTGACCTCAGAACTAGAACAGAAACGGGGTTTGTAGTCCAGTGGAATCAGCTCTCAGCTTTTCCAGACCCATCGTTCCTGTTTGTGGTGGAAACCTTCCTGCCCCCCCCCCCCCCCCCCCCCTCAGGCCCGTTTGTTTCCCCACAGAAAACTCGTTTTGGTCCCTTGTGATAGTTCCTGATTGTTCCCGTCTCCGTGGAGAGCTTCCCCTCCTCAGACCGTCTGAGTGTCTCAGAGACAGAAAGCAGAAGGCTTCAGCCTCTAAGAATAGCTCCGACCCTCCTGGGTCTGTTTCCACCGCTCACCCGGGGGCTGAAACAGCCGGAGCTCCGAGGCCACGCGCGTTTGATCTGAGTCCATCCGTCCATCTGACCGGGGGGGGGGCGCCCTCTGCTGGTCAGCGGCGGGACTGCAGCCGACCCCTGAAACCCGGTTAATCTGCAGCTCTGTAACAGGGAAATGTTCCCAAAGGAAACCAGAGTACAGCGGGGGAAATAAGTATTTGAGCCCTTGCTGATTTAGCAGGTTTGCCCACTTACAAAGAATGCAACGATCTATAACTTTAATCATATGTACATTCTAACAGGGAGAGACAGAATCCCAAAGAAAATTCCAGAAAATCACATCATATGAATTTATAAAAATTGATAAGCATCTGATGAGGAAAAATAAGCATTCTTTGTAAGTGGGCAAACCTGCAAAATCAGCAAGGGCTCAAATACTTATTTCCCCCTCTGTATGTCAGCCCCTAACAGCCCGGATTCAGTGGGAGGGAGGGGGAGGGGGGGGGGCGACCGCAGGAGGACAAGGACGGTGTTCCTGAGGACGTCTTTGAAATCGATATGCATGAGCAAGATGACCTTTAGGATAAATGAACACTCACCAAAGATAAGACACTATTTAGTCTGAAAAAGCTCAGAGAAGCGGAGTGGTTTCAGCCTCAGAGGAAAAGGAATAAGGCTGGACTGATGGAGGGATGATAAGTTAATGAATAAAAGTCAGAACAGTCAGAGACTTCATGCTTTTGTCCTGGGCTGAATACGGCTGAATTAATGAACAAACAGCCTTGATCTTATTCCAAAGTTTAGCTTAAATGCTGGAAAGCAGCAGGTGTGGAAGCTGGAGGCAGAAGAAGCTGTTTAGTTTTTAATTCAAACCATCAGAGCGTCTGTTTGTGCTTTCCACCCATCTCTGGTCCTGTTTGTGTCTTCTGTTAGTTTCTCTCTGTTCACCTGTTCCTTTAGTTCCCACTTCCTGTGTTATTGTGTTGGCGTGTGTGTGTTGGCGTGTGTGTGTGTGTTAGTGTGTTTGTGTGTGTTAGCGTGTGTGTTAGCGTGTGTGTTAGCATGTGTGTGTGTGTAATTGTGTGTGAGTGTGAGTTCCCACTGCAGAACAAGGCCTCTATTGATGCGCGTGGAGCTCTGGAAGGCCTCCGGAGTAGAGTAGCTGCTAGTGAAAGGAGGAGCTGAACGGCCTGTGTGAGCGGCTCTGGAACAGACGCAAACCTCCAGTCTCCCCTTCACTTTCCCTAATGGGGCTCTCAGAGGAGCATCATCACACACTCTGAGCCAACTCTGCTCCCCCCGGCCACAGCGGCCCCATTCCCCGAGCAGAACTGACCCAGATAGTTTCCTCTGGCTGCTGAGTTTCCTCAGAGTACGCAGTCACACCTGCTGCAGCCGGTGGGGGACCCTGTTACGCTGCGTTTGTTTGATTATAGGGATTAAAGCTATCATTTTTCACATTTCCCCATAAAGATGGAGTTTATTCCCCCCTAAAAACAGCATTAGGAGCTATTCTTTCATCCAAACGACTCTTTAGGAGACGTTAATGCGACTTCTCTCCTGTTAAGCTGCTCTGGTGTAAAATAAAGGTTAAATATACAGGACGGGCTGAATAATTAACGTTGTGTTTGGATGAAATCAAAACTTCTGCCGTCCTCAGACGGGAGGAGGTCGTTCACTAAGGCAGACCCGTCGTTTCTCTCTCCAGAGAGGATCCGGCCTCAAAATGGCCGAAGGGCTCTCAGTGATGCACCTCAGCACCCAGAAGCCTCCCAATCTTCATTCCTATCACATTTTCTGCCCCATCTACTGCGGCAAAAGCTGCAAAGCTTAGGGGAGATTTCCTCCTTAAGCTGATTTTATATAAACTGATAGCCCTGTCATAAAGCCAGGAGCTGGAGTGAATGGACGGATGAATGCGCAGATGAAAAGAGTAATGAAAGGAAAGCAGGAAAACGAGGAGCGGTTGTATTAGGATTCATGTGAAAGGTAACACCCTCATGTTTGAGCTAAAGGGACCAGTGGATGTAAGAGAAGAGAGCGGGATAAAGACGGCAAAGCTGATGTGATAGCTTAGAGGTTAAGACTAAGAGAAGAGCCAAACAGGGCGGAGAGGACAGACGGAAATGTTGTGGCCTTATTAGGAAGGACCAGGGGATGGAAGTAGAGAGGAAAGCAGAGGAGATGTGGATTCATACCGCTACAGATATGAAGTAAAAGCTCCAGGGGGGAACGGGAGGACGGGAGAGGGAGGAGACGCTCGGGGGAGAAAATGGCCGAGTCCCGCTCCTTAATGGGACACGCCAATGTGCCATGTAGCTGTCGGCTTAAGTCAAGTGATGAATGTCCTGTAGCATGACCTTCTCCTCTTTATCCCCTTTTACAAACATCCATCTGCGCAGCATTACCAGCCGACAGAATACAGATTAAAAATTAGGGTGAAAAAGCCAAATGTTTAGCCTTTCTCTTCCTTTCTCCCTCAGACAGAGCTCTGTGTTTCTGTAGCCGCTAACTAGGAGGGAAAGGTCAGAATGTGTAGCTAACCTGCCTGCCTTAAACTGTCTGTTTTCTCTCCTGCAGCTGAAGAAGCTCCTGCTGACTCCCCCCAACGTCCCCGCCGCCATGGACCTGCACAAAGATGGCCATCGCTACGGCAACAGAAGCCTGCGCCTGAGGCCCGTCAGGCCTGTGGCAAAGGTGAGGCTGGAAACAGGGCTGGAAACAGGGCTGGAAACAGGGCTGGAAACAGGGGGACAGGGCTGGAAACAGGGCTGGAAACAGGGCTGGAAACAGGGCTGGAAACAGGGGGACAGGGCTGGAAACAGGGCTGGAAACAGGGGGACAGGGCTGGAAACAGGGCTGGAAACAGGGCTGGAAACAGGGCTGGAAACAGGAGGACAGGGCTGGAAACAGGGCTGGAAACAGGGCTGGAAACAGGGCTGGAA